ATACGCATGGTCAGAAAGCGAAAAAAAAATCACCGCCCAAGCACATCGTAAAAATGGTTAACCAGCGAAAGGGGGAACGTGCGGCCCAGGTGTTGGGTTCAACCAGAGCTGCACTGAAGCCTTTTACAATTATTAGTTTCATGTTCGTGTTTGTTTATAAGGTTAGACATATATTTCGTTCATAAGTTAAGCACCTTGTTTATTTCAGATGCCACTAATTGTGCCTTGCGTGATCACGGTGCTGAAGGAGTGTAATCAGCAGTTCAATGCGTTACGCCATCTGTTAATCAGAGTGGTGTTTCATGAACCAAAGACGGTGACAGACGTTGGAGCCGAAGTCAAAGTGTCGCTGGAGAAATTCTTACCGAAAGCGGGTGTTTGCCCTGGTAAACGCCCGTAGACGCGCTCGTGTCCGCAACTGTGGTCGCGTTGTAGCATCTTTTTGACATCGCGAGTTAACTCGGCAGCGTGGCTTGCAAGATCCGCCCGCGGCACTTGCATTCCCGTTCGCAATATAGTGCGGCTGAGAAGGCTGCTGAATTATCGGTATGCAGTTGTTCCAAGAGCTCGGCTTCCAGAGCCTGTTTTTATTCCTGGAATGCACTATCGGCCCGGCAAATACCAGCCCTCTCACATTTCCACTGTCGGTGTTCTTCCAGATTTGTCCGAGGCTTACCCATGTGAAAGGTCTCAGTAGAAACATATACGCGCATGCCCGGCGCCCCGGATGCGATGGGATGGACAGCGTCACTCACAACTTAGCCAATGGCACGCGTGCTTGGGTACGACGCTGATAACGACCTAACTAATAGTGCAGCGAATGGAGACCACTCATGACACCGATGCCGAATGGTTTTCGTTTCTCTTATAGTCATATACAGCTTTTACTATAAAAAGTTTAGTGAACGGGAGCCGAGCCCATCTGCTCCGCGAGAACAGGTGACGGGTAAGCTACCCACTGTGCCACAACCTCTTTTTTTCTTTATTAGAATAATTATACATTTGGTGCCCTACACCACCCACTAGGGTGCGTAAGACTGACTGCATTCGATGTGTCTAGTATACAAAAAATTTTATCGATTGCGCCTCGCTACTCTGGCCCTTCTCTGAGCTTCGTGACTTTTTCAACAAAATAGTCTTCATGAGATCGTCCTTAGGGCTTAGCATTTTGTATATCCATACGTGACCTTCATATGCGCTATAAGAACAGCATGAGGAGATCATACTGGGAACTATATCCTCGAACAGGCAGAAACAACACCACGGCCACATTTTTTGGAAGCTTTACAAATGCGCCTTTCATATTTAACACTGTCCTCTTGCAGTGCCTATAATAAGGTGAAGTAATGCGTCATAGCAATGGCATGCACGATTAGTTCCTTCAAACGTCGTTTCTGCGCATCCCTACCTTACTGCACGTTTCCGATAGAATCGCGATTTTGTCGATGCAATAACACAACGCCAGATGGTGCCATGACCCCTAGCATTGGCCTCGCTATAACATTTATCTACATCAGAAATTGCTGTGCCTCACCGCGTTCTTCATTCACGCTCGTGGCTCGAAAGTTCGGGACTGGCCTTTGACATGCACTACGTTTCCTTCAAGTCAGGTGGTGGCGTCCGATACTTTAACGTGCAGTGAGTAGGCGTAAATTCGGCGACCATTTAGTGACGACTCTCCTGGTTGTGGCACCGCTTGCTATTCCGCTCTCAGCGTTAATTACGGCAGCTACCACAAGCATCTATGACTACAAGGGTTTGTTTAATCATCGATCATGGGCATTAGTCATCGGAACGGAGATGTAGGTGCATTCGTGTGAAAGGGGGCGGTAGCTTTGAAACATCAAGATACATTTAGCAAGCTGTCTTTTATCAACTTCTTCTGTAAATACAACTTTTACTTTTGCATTACACTGAAAGTAAAACTTCGGTATGACACAGATTTTGTAATGAGAAGTTTTACTTTCGTGTTATACCAAGTTTTCTGATGGAGAACTCAGCGATGTTTTTTTTTATTTTGCGTCGTAGTGGTCTTGAACACAGGCGGGAGCTGCAGTGGACAAATACGACGCCAAAAGCGGCGGTATTTGGTTCTTACTTAATCGTGTTTATTGCGGCCCCACGGCCTTGTGATCGCGTAAATATCATATTGCGTGAATACAGGTATCACTCGCAATTTTTCCTCAATATCTTCAATGGAAGTACGAGGTGCTGGGAAAGGCATTCGGCGTCAAAAAGCACGTGCCACATTTGTACTCGACTGTATGTTGCAACAATCAATTCTTTTCAATTTCAATGCGATTGGGTTTTATCCACAAAGCTGAGTTGCCACTCTCTGCCGGAGAGCTCTGAATTGTTTTAAGGTATTTTTGTAAGATTGCACGAATGACACTAATGACTGTGTTTCTTGTGAAGCTGAGGCGAATGTCGAATGTTCACTCCCTGATTTATCAAAAACGAAGCCAACCGCCGACAATCACAGTACCGACGGCTTGCGAAATTTTTCGGCACTATCATTAGCGTCTGTGTGCGTGTGTGTGTGTGTGTGTGTGTGTGTTGTGTGTGTGTTGTGTGTGTGTGTGTGTGTGTGTGTGTGTGTGTGTGATACTAGTTTTCTGCGGCCCATTTTGCATAATGAGTATCATTTTTACTGTCAACGGTGGCCTAGTAGTTGTGGTGCTCCAGTGTGGACACGCAGGTCGCAGAATCGAGTTCGTGCCGAGGCGGCCTCAATATTGATTGAGACGAAACTTGAGGCGAGACCTGTTGGTCATTGAGGCGAGACCTTTTGGTCACTGAGAAAGATAAATTTCGCGTGCAGAAATAAAGAAAAATTTTATGAGGCCCAAGGAGAGCGAGGTAACGTTATTGTGTTATAGAATAATTCCGCTCAGCTGCGGAAAAAAAGCGGCGGGTGTATGTGACAAGACAGTCCTGACCACATTGACGTATGAGGAGAACAGTGCCCATGCCTACATGGGCACTGTTCACTGCTGGCTTGGATATATATACTGCCCTGTGGGAAGAATTGTCCAAATAAGCTAGCACGGGTGGCAATGTGAGTAGCTTGCGAAGCTGAGGAAACGCCGATGCTTGAGTAGAGCACTAAAAGAAAAATTCCTGCAAAGTAAATTGCACGGATGCATTGAACGTGAAAACACCATATGGAATATCAATTTTTCAAGAGAACAATTTTCGTAACCCAGAGTATGCCCGCATCGACTAATTTATGCACATCACCTTTAGATGAGAACCCATCACAACGAGCAGGTGATCATTGTCGGTAAATTCAATGAAGATCACTCAAACTTCTGGGAGAAATGAATCCTCCAGCTTTAAATAGATGTTCGAGCTAGTGTTTCACCAAACCAAGTCACCCAACCACCACAGAGATGTTTACAGGTTGAACTTCACATTAGCATCCACTAAAGCAGAAAACAAAAAAGCAGCTCAACGAAGCAAGCACTGCACAAAATGCCTGTTTGGCACAAATATTTCGCAGTTAATGAGTCTGTCAAATTTTCAAATTCCCGTATATACGTTCGATAATAATACTGTCCTACACTTGCACGCTCCAAAACCAAGTTATAATAAAAAAGCATGTCGTGGCTTCGGGAAATTATGCCATGTGGTGTTTTTGAAACACAGCGAGCAAATAACGACAGCAACGTAACTGCTATAGCTGCGACTTCTCCATTCCTGTTACCCAGTCGTTGCTTGAGCCGTGTATTGAACAACAAGCAAAAGTTCGACCCATCCGGTCGTCTTCGACGTGCATTAACCTTACACTATACACGGGTCTGTAGCATATCACTACTAGTGCCCGCGTGCGCCTTCTTTTATCTTGACGTGTATGTGTGCTACAAAAAAGCCCACTGAGAACGTGCTCGCATCGCATTCCTTGTGAACATTATTTCTAGCAGTTAGCATACATGAAAATGCGAGCTATACGACCGGGCTCGAACCCTTGACATTCGGGTCAGCAACCGAGCAACATGAGCACCACTACAGGCCGTGGCGTACGGTCGACACTAGATGTGGCCTCTACTACCACATCAGATTATTTTACTAAATGATTTTAGAGGTGTATTTATTTTCACATTTGCTTTGCGTTGCGGGTACAATGAATTCGTATACTCCACGTATATCTTTCGCACAAACTGGTGCTCATGTCTATGGAAAAGCCCTGCTTCTCAAGGGGTTTAGCCATTGTTTGAAATGGACAGTAGAACTCAGTTTTTCCTGTGCTATTTTTTGTTCTAGTGGTGATGAATACGCACACCCGGGGGCAAAGATATGCGGATCAGGGAAGGGCGAGTCCTAATCTCCGTCTATCGCGCGAACTCGTGAGCGGTTGCTGTCGAGAGCACTCCTTAGATGGTATAGCTGTCCAGGGCATTACGCTTATTGAATGCGTCAAGGAAACGCCCTCCGCGGCCCACAGCTTGCAACTGCCTCGCACAGTAGAGAAATATATACAGACGCTCATAATCCATACACTTTCGCTCACGGGTATGCACTCTCTTGGAATGAGCGACTTGCTCTGCTGCACTTGGGCAGCAAGCAGACCACCTTCTGACATGCCAACTGAAGAGCTGGGACCACAGGAATCTAAGAATATGCATGCTGCCTGCTGTAATTGGCGCGGTTGTTCCATTTAATAAAACTTATTCTCTCTCTTGCTTTACGGCGTACATGGGAACACCAGTTTCTGGCTGAGCTGAAAAAGAGAAGGCATGGTATGCATGCGTCTCTGCAATCGTCATCCTGAGTGTGCAAATGATGTGCAAGCGGCCCAGTCTTCCTCGTCCAGCTTCAATATCCACTTTGTTCAATAAACGGGTTTACTTCTTTTCTGTCATGCGTAAGATGTCATTTTGAACAAAGCAGTATGCCTAATTAATGTACTGACTTAGGTTTTACGTTCTATAGAAGTGCACGTGTCAGAAAATTGATGCCCAGGCGTTGGGTAATTTGCCCACTCGCTCCCATTCTTGCAGGAAGGAATTGTGAATCACAATTTGCGAATTACGCCTCTTCTTCAAGGGGAACGATCACTCCACGGTCTGATACCCCACGTCTTGTTTGAAGTACCAGAAGCGGAGAATTTCAGCAAAGTTGGTGAGTGAAATATTTTTAGTTTCTAGTTTTCTTCTCAAAGGCCATGGTTGTACTAGGTAACTATATAGCAGCTAACTAGCGAACTGGCTCAAAACGAAGCTGGGATAGTTTGAAGCGCGGAGCACCTTAGGTTGCCAGGTTGTCATATGCTAGGCTTAATGAAGGCAAAACTTTATATAGCATAGCCAGCTGAGAGTGCGCCAAAATGAAGTCTTCTTCCTCTTGTCCTTCGAGCATCTTGATAATGACATTAGGTGCAGAGCACTTGAATTGAGACCACCTAAAATATTAAAGAAACGATCAAGCAAGCAATGAATAGATGAACGAAACAAGGAAAGGCAAAAATAGGTAGCACAATTAAAATAACAAAATTAGAGAAGAAAAAAAGCAGAAACCAACTGGTATTTATGACAAAAATAAACGAGAAGAGGAGAGAAGGACAAACCTGATTTAAAAGAAACAAAGCCGCCCAGCAGGGTTGCGAGATTTACATCTTTACGCCATGTTGTATACTTTTGAACGGCCGTGGAGACCAAGAAATTACGTTAACTATTTGGCTATTGTTCTGGCGCCGGCCTCACCACATAACATGCGCTAATATCAAATGAAATAATACAAAAAAATATTAAGTGTACATTGACACTGCTGCCGGCGGCTGCTTCGGTGTAATAGCATTTTTTGTCAGTATAACGGAACCAAATGCGCACGCCTAAAACGCGTCCCGGCCGCCATGACTTTCACATTAATAATGAAACTTATACCAATTAAGGAGCACTGTAACGTAGGTGACGTGGATTTTGTTCAGGCTTTCTAGCCGCTATCTGCCTGACGCGCTAATGCTCAGAGCGGTATAAGTGGCGCCACCCTAGGCGAACGTTGGGGCAAAGTGGATGTACGCGGGTCATAAAAGCCTTCCACAAGGCGCATGTATCCTGCTGTTTTTGCAGTGTATTTTCATTCTGGTTTATTATTTTCACTGCCAACGCTGCTACACTTGTCAGCTATGACGTTTGTTATGTTGATTGTTCAATTTCATTTGTTTGGAAATGGCAGGCTTGTTTTCTATATCTGCCTGCTCGCTCGATGCACTGCATGTGTTTCCTACGTGAATGCACCTAGGCTGTTGTTTGAGTGATTTGTTACCACAGATGCAATAAAAGACATTTCCATACGAAAAGACCAGTTGATCTTGTTTTTCCAATGAATTTAGCTACAGAATGCACATCGCGTCATCTGGTATGGGGCCAAATACGATGAACGTTTTGAAAACCTTGCAAAGAGTTGAATTTCGTTGGCCCAAGCCCGTATTGAGCTGCAAGTACGGCACCTTCGTCAAGTTGAGGGTTTGAGTGCCGACATGCCAGCAATGGAATTCCGTATGGTAATACAAACCTACCGGAATGCATCAGGTGGTAATTTTAAGCAAAACATTGCAGGCAGGGCAATTTACTTTTTTTCTTTAAATCTGAGGCAGAAGCGCAGCGAATGTTTTAAGCTGTGCCTGTTAAGAAAAGCGACTTAAAAGAGTTGAATGCCAAACTAGCTTCTCTGAATCATCAGGGTCCCATTTGGACTACGTTTTGAACGTGTTACAAGCACCACGTTAACGTGGTTGGAAAACTGTGCTGCATTTATTGAGAAATACGAAGTACTTTGCTCACTTTACATTATCACTGCCGTAAGGCAAGCTCGCAAAAGTGAACTCGGCTATGTATGTTTCACTGTCAGTGCACTATTAACTGACAATTTTTTATAGTACTAACTCTTCCTGCATGAAGTCACCTGATCTTTTTCTTTACTCTCTTTTGGTGTCATAAACGTTGCTGTGATGTATAATTTTGCATTATTAGGTGTCCGAACACAGTGATAATTTAGCTAAACTAAAATAACGCTTGGCTACGTTTCCGGCTCCAAAATAAAATAACGGCTGCCGGTTGGCTACACACTGTTCTACAAAACTTGGTTAATTTTATGGCTCTTTTTTCTTCGAGGATCTGGCAACCGTGCTGCCCAGATACGCACTTCCTCCAGGCTTGGCAGCAATAGTGTAAAGCTGCTTTGAGTTTTTCTAATTTCAAGAGCGAAGCTGTAAATTGCCCTACCAGTACGTGATATGTATTATTTCATACTCTTTTTAAAGAAAGGATTAATCACCCCTGTTGCAACGGAAACAACAGAGACGGTTTTTGTAACCGTAGACAGGAGTCTGTTGAGCGCCTTGCTTTTCGTTCCATCGTGTGCGAGCGCTGTTTGGTGAGGACGTGCCAACCGCCCTTGTCAAACGCTCTCCAGCTCTACCAGTACATATTAGCAAAATGTCGTAAATGCACATAGTGTTATTTGGCGCATTTGGAACATTCGTGTTTCCCGTATTTCACTTGGGACAAAAATTGTCAACTTGAATTTAGGCTCGTTATAAGCTGTGTGCATGATGATGTAAGGAGCGTTCCGCTACCTGCTTCGAGAGTTGGCGTGTTGCGAGAGAATAGTGAATAGTGAAGCGCAAAATGCAGATGATAATTAAAACAACTTTACCTTTCGTACCAGCTGGGACAGATCCAGTTTCCGCATTTATGGACAGCGCGATACCTTGTACAACTAATTTCTAATATTTTTAATGGCCTTTTGAAGTTCTGTGAGAGAAATGAGTCATGTGGTAGTTTCCCCGGAATTCCTGGCTACTGAGCACAAGACAAAGCATTTGCATCCTTCTTGATAAGGAAGCCTATTGTGTGTCAAAAAAGAGACCCTATTTGTCTCAGTCGAACATAACATTTGGTATAGGTTTTACCTTGAACCTTCAACTCTAAGCTTGAATCCTTTTCTATGCAGCGGTGGTGAAGGCGAAGCAGATAACTTGCCGCTGAGTGCATTCTTTTTTAATAGAATCGACTTTCTATTAAATTTATTTTGACAACATTGGAGACATTACAGAAGCAACAAAACAGCAATGTTGTGAGGGGTGAGCAAAAAGCCATTTAGGCTTGCTGAAGGCTTTCATGTAATTTGAAGGCTTTCACGTAACATAGCAACATCAGCGTGAGAATATAATTTATTAAAGTTCGAAAAACGTGTCCTGCGAGTTTTGAAGTAACGTGCAAAAACTCTCACGATGGTCTACATCTACGTGGCTCATAAAAACTAAGAGTGGACCGAACTATGTGAAAATAAAGAAATTTATAGAATGTGTATAAATAAGCCAAAATGGTGAAATCAAGCGGGACACTGCTGGTTACCAAATATTTCACATTGTATAAAAATATAAACTTGAAAGAGTTCGTTGACATTCATCTTCATTTGAAGCAGCGCACACGCGATCAAGATTTAAAAAAAAATTCAGCTTAAAAGAGGAGTTGTGGTGTGCATCGTCTAACTTTGTGTTTTCTTTTTCAATTTCTAATAAGGTTCAGTTGCTCATCAGGTCTTGATTTGTGTTGCTTAACCTTTATCTTCTTCCCATGGCCCCACCGTGGTGGTCTAGTGGCTAAGGTACTCGGCTGCTGACCAGCAGGTCGCGGAATCAAATCTCCGCTGCAGTGGCTGCATTTCTGATGGAGGTGGAAATGCCGTAGGCCCATGTGCTCCAATTTGGGTGCAAGTTGAAGAACCCCAGCTGGTCAAAAAATCCGGTGCCTTCAACTACGGCGTCTCTCATGGTCATATTGTGGTTTTGGGACGTTAAACCCCACCTATAAATGAATCAATCTTCTTCCCGTGTGCGCTGCTTCAACCACAGATCTCATATTGTATTCAAGCAACTGTAAAAACTGGGGAACCTTAAGCTTCGCCTTCGCCTTCTGAAAGATGGAGGACAGATTGTGTTAGAAAACAACCCCCACTGTTTACGAGGTGTCTCCTGACGGGAAGAGTACCAGAGTCTTGGAAGAATACTAACATCATTCTAATACACAAGAAAAGAGATGACAAGGACTTGAATATTTACAGGCCGATCAGCTTGCTCTTCAAAATATACAAGCTATTTACAAAGGTAATTGCTAACAGAGCTAACAAAACATTAGAATTCAATCAACCAAAGAAACAAGCTGGATTTCGAACAGACTACTCAACTATTGACCACATTCATACCATCAGTCCGGCAATAGAGAAATGCTTAGAATATAACCAACCACTATAGTTAGCCTTCATAGATTACGAAAAGGCGTTTGATTCAGTTGAAATATCAGCAGTCATGCAGACTCTGCGGAATCAGGGCGTCGATGAAGCATATATAAACATCCTGGAAGAAATCTACAGGGGATCAACTGCTACCATTACGCTTCATAAAGAAAGCAACAGAATACCAATCAGGAAAGTCTAAGGCAGTGGGATACAATCTCCCCAATGCTATTTACCCCGTGCTTACAGGAGGCTTTTCAGAGGCCTAGAATGAGAACAGTTAGGCATAAGAGTTATTGGAGAGTACCTTAGCAACCTGCGCTTTGCCAATGACTTTGGATTGCTGAGTAACTCGGGTGACGAATTCCAACTCATGATTACAGAAATCAATCTACAGAAAACGAAAGTAATGCACAACAACCTCGGAAGATAACAGCGCTTCGAGATAGGTAATAGAGCACTTGAAGTTTTAAAGGACTAGGTCTACTTAGGAAACGTAATAACCGCGCAGCCAAACCGCGAGATTGAAGTAACTTGAAGAATTAGAATGGTGTGGAGCACATTTGGCAAGCACTCTGAAATCATGACAGGTAGGTTGCCACTATCTCTCAAGAGGTAGGTATATAACATCTGCATTTTGCTGGTAATTACCTACGGAGCAGAAGCCTGGAGACTCACAAAGAGGGTTCAGCTGAAATTGAGGATGACGCAGCGAGCGATGGAAAGAACAATGGTAGGTTTAACCTTAAGAGACAAGAAAAGAGCAGAGTGGATTAGGGAACAAACGGGGGTTAAGGATATCCTAGTCGAAATCAAGAAGAATAAATGGACGTGGGCCGGGTATGTAGCGCGTATACAGGATAACCGCTGGTCATTAAGGGTAA